TGCTGCTGCTTCTCAAGGCCTTCAAATCGATGGATGGTACGCCTTTTTTGGCCGAGGTACGTCAACGTGGTCTTCAACTCGCGCGAGGTGCGCCGAGGGGCCTTCGTGGGAGGTGTTGTTCTGGGTTTCTGGCTGAGGATTGGTTTTTGCCCAGCTATCTGGGTGGACGGTCCGGTGTGAGTTTCGGGATCAAGACTTCTGTACGGCGGCAGATGATCAAGGGCTTCAAGTTTCTTGAAGCTTTGCACTGCCGTTACCCGTTTGCTGAGAAGGTATATTAGGCAGTCCCACACCCCAACGTGAGTCAGTTGTTTGTGACTTTCCTTGGCTTTTCTGCGGTTTCAGGAAATGGACGTCCTCGACCCTCACGACGAAGACTACGAGGAGAAACTGCGAGTGAGGCACGGGCACACTCACATTTTCTAACAGAGTCCATCGCAGACTCATAATCCTCCCTCCGTTTGGTTTGCAGCGCGTGCTTCTACGATGCAACGTTCTGTGGCTGGGTGTTGTGTCCAGTTCTTCTAAGGTCATGCCAGCTCTTCCAAATCCCTGTGACATCTCCCAAGACTTGTAGGCCCCAAAAGTCCTGAGTGGCAAGCACGCCTGCACTGGACTCTGAACCGGAACGGGTGCGCGCCTTTCTGACAGGCAGGAGGAAGAGAAGAATCGAGTGGAGGAGGCAACGATGAGGAGTCGAAAGCTGGGTTGTGACACAGTGTCGTGTATCTTTCGGAGCTATCAGATGTTTCCAGCGGGGCTGAAGTCTCAACCCGATGTCACGTGTCGAACCTCCAACCCGACGTCGGTGCCCCAGAGCAATCTTTCGGCCCCCTTCTCTCTGAAGACGTAGGTCCGCGTGCCTGGCGAGCGCCTTGAGAACGCCCCTCTGCCGCCTCCGCCGCCCAATACCGCTTCAGGTGCCAGCAAAAGCAGCCTGGTTTTGGGGTCGGCCCATGGCTGTGATTTCCCAGCATTCCAAGAGCCAAAAGTACAGGGATCTTGGGCTGTCTTGTGGCCCTCTAGGCCCTAAACCCTGAACCCTTGAAAGGCTACGGCATCGTGGGCCTCACGCGCAACGAGCGCGTGCGACGGCGTCTCCGAGCACTTCGCAACTGTCTGAACGTGGCCTTGGGGAGACTCACGAAGGCGTCGTCTGGTCATCACCACTAGGCTTGTGATGACGAATATTCCATGAGATTGTGAGTATCTTTGTATGGGTGGACTGTCCAAGCGGTGTTTAGAGGTGAGGGCTTTTGGAGCTGGAAACTCCTCCCGAAGGATGTGCAGAAAAGGTCCCACGGGTTCAGGATTTAACGGCTTCTTCAGGAGTCTATGGCGCGGAGGCTGCTTTTGTGTGTAGCGACATCAAGCCAGCAGCGTTACCTTCAGCAATGCCGGTAAAGAGTTTCAGGGGGGTGGGGGAGGCACCGTGAAGGTATAGGCGCAAGGGGTCAAAACGGATGAACAAGACGAAGACGTCCTTTTCTACCCTGAATGCACGCCTTGGGAATCCCTAAACTCCCAAACCCCTAAACTCTAGACCCTAAACTCCTAGCTAAAACCCTAAAACCCTAAACCCAAAGCCTGGGCCCTTCTGCTTTTTGGGGGCACTTGGGGAAGGATGGATCTTTGGTGGTCCTCTGGCCTGGGCTACCAGTGCACCCAGTCCTCTTCTTCATTGCAGGCAGCGCTCTTTAGGGTTTGGGGTTTAGGGTTTAGGGTTTAGGGCCTACTTGGAGGGTCGAGGGACTTCGTTAGTAGTACCACAAACCTCAGTTAGGATCCCGTTTAGTGTACTTTTAAGTCTACTGATCTCCTGCTTTTTCAGTCCCCTGATTCTTCAAGTTTTCCCCAAGGCTTGACGTTTGGAGTTGAGGATCCTAGGAGCTGGGGGGCGAGGGGCAGCTGGCAAAAGCCTTAGGGCATGGCAGGCATCCATGTAGGCTGTAGGCTTTAGGGCTTACGGTTTTGGGGTTTAGGGTTCTAGGGCTTTTCGTTGTCATGCTTGATCCGGGGCCCGTGGGCCTCCCACCCCCCCAGTGAGCTCCCAAAGACTCGGCAAGTCTTCTTGCTTGTGGGTAGCGGGTTATGGCTCAGGGCTTGTGGATTTGCTTGTCTTGTGCATTTCTTCACTGCTCTTGATGGCTCGTTCTGGAGACTTGTTGACGGAAGTGTGAAGCTGTCCATTGCATCTTCGCAGTCTTCAGTCATCCGGCTACAGGCTGGTTCCTGCACGAAAGCCGTGAACCGTTAGTCCTGAGTCGTACACGTTGCGTCGCCAATATACTCCTCGCCATCCAGACGTCACAATCTTTTTTCCAACCCTCTAGACGCTATACCCTAAACCCTAAACCCCAACTCCCACAAAAGCCCTGGGGTTTGTGACGTGGAGGCACACTGCGGAAGCTCTTCCAGCGAGTTCACATCTTCAGCCCGGAAGGTGGGAGAGAGCTTCTACAGTCTCTAAGCCCTAAAATAACCCCCTAAACCCTAGGTTTAGGGTTTAGGGTTTAGGTTTAGGGTTTAGTAGACCCAAATTAAACCCTGAACCCTAAAGCCTTAGCCCCAAAGCCTGGACCCTAAGCCGATGCTTTTGGGATTGGAGTTCCTCAGAAAAGGGCCCTACACCCCAAAAAACACAGCCCCAGTCTCAGCGCTTTTCGGGGAGCATGTTTTTGATGAGGGCCTGTTAGAGCTTTCTCGCCCGATTCGGAGAGCATTGTGGCGTAGGGCCTGAGGTTTCGGGTTCAGGTTTCAGATTTCGTGGGGTAGGGTCTGGCGTGTAGCGGCTTGGTTTGCTTGAATTTTCGTATGGTTTTCTGACATCAGAAGGTTCGTGCAAACGGTGCCACCTGAGTTACACCGCACCAAGCCATGAACCCGTCCTCCATTCCTCGGTCTTCTTGAAGATCTGCCCTAAATCCAAAAACCCCCAAGCCTTTGTCGGGTCTCATGGTTATTATCATTGTTCTGATTTTTATCATTATTATTATGATTTGTACTACTACCATCATTAGGTTTGTTATCATTTGTTTTTTTTTATAGGTCTCTGGAACACACAGGAATCTCGAACCGGTACTCCTAAACCCTGCAGTCTAAATCCACCATTCGTATGCTCGGAGCCGAAAATCCCCGCAAACCCTGAATTCGCAAGTAACAAACACCGACAATAACGACCACAGTAATAATCATAATCTAAGAACTACACTAATCATATGAACCCATAGAAAGAGTAACAGCCAAAAGTAAAAAAATGATAATAGCAAGAAGAATCAGAAGAAGGTGCGAAGACCTGGGATGTGTACATTCTGGCCGCCGGCTTCGTCCGAGACCGTGCGGATTCGAAGGTTCCGGGCATAGGCCAGGCCCGGAAGGGCTGTTGAAGTGCAGAGCTTCCCAGTTCCGAGTTTGGGCGAAGCACGATAATATAGCATAAGAGAACAAAAGTATACTAAAAACATACTATATAATTCGCTATAACATACTATATGACACACTCTGTAGTATACTGTAATATACTTTTTTGGGGTCTCAGTTGGGTTTTGTTAGCGGTTTAGAGTTGTGGGCTCTCGGGGTTTCAGGATGAAGGTTGCGGTAGGACTCCGCATTCCGGGGCTTGGGAGCCCAAGAGCTCGGGACCTGGCTTGACGTCAGGGTTCCTATAGTATCGTAGAGTATAGTGTAGTCTGACATACAGTATATTACAGTTTAATCCAGTATCTTATAGTCCTATGGGGTATCTTATAGTATATGACAGTACCGACTGTTGACCACCTGCACAGAGAGGTAGGGAGATTATTCTTGGATCCTTCCAGATCGTTGAAAAGCTCCCACACCTGGCAGAAAGGACCGGGGGTGTCGAGTCGTTCCGCAACTGTCGATGCACAGAATCCGCTCTAACGATCGTGATCCTAAACCCTAAAACCCTAAACTCTAAGCCCTGAAACAACCCTAAACTTCCTAAACCCTTAACCCTAAACCCTAAACCCGAAACCCTAAACCCTAAACCTTAAACCCTAAACCCTAAACCCCTAAGCCTAAACCCCAGACCCTAGACCCTAAGCCGAAGAGACTTCAGCATAGGTGGCCTGGAGCTTCGAAGCTTCTTCGACAGTACGTGGAGGTGGCCGTGGGTTTAGGGTTGAGGTAGGGTTTAGGGTTTAGGGTTTAGGGTTTAGGAATCTAGAAGCCAGGGCTTGGCACTGCCGGGTAGAGAAAGACAGGGCACGGGTTGCAGTTCAGTTAATATCAGGTTTGGTTGTCTGTTTTGTTTTCTTGCCAACATGGGGCACATCGTGTCTGATGTCTGCTGCATCTTGAGTGGTTTACAGTGCGTGGGTGGGCAGATAGACAAACAGGAGGTCGGTCGGCAATTGGCCTGTGAAGGCAAGCTTAGGTCGAGAGGTTACGCTGCTAGCCTATTCCATTTGCACAGTTGTGCCTGCATCTTGTAGATGGTCATCTGGCTCTGATAGCAGGGATGCATGCTGTGGTTTGTCATGAGCCCACCCTTTCGCTCGCCGGCCAGGCTGGATGCCTTGGATGACGTCTTGCTGTGGACCTTGCCCCCGGACCAGGAGGATGAGGAGACCTCTGTGGGCATCACAGGCCCTCCAACTAGATGATATTCTTGCTGTTATATGATTCGAGGTTATATATTATATAATACTAGTATATTATATAATATTCGTATATTAGACCATGACCCCATGTCTCCCATGACCTCAGAGTCTGGCGCCTAGACCTTGAACTTCCGCAGGAGTGGCCCTGTGTCTGTATGGCGTTACCCGGTTACCAAATTCCACTATATACTATGCTACATGCTGCACAGTCATGGTGCAGAAAATTCTAGTCTATGCTATCCTATGCTATGCTATGCCATTCTGTTCTATTCTATTCTATTCTGCTCTGTTCTTCTGTTATGTTATGTTATATTATGTTGCATTATGTTGTATCATGTCATGTTATATGACATTGGATTGTGTTGTGTTGCCTTGTAGTGGGTTTATCTCCGTTCCGCTACATGTGTTGTATGCTTGGCAGGTAAGGGCATCGTGGCTGCGTATACACTGCTTTGGAAGACCTGGGCGGGGCCACTCGCTTCAATGTTATTAGAGGGGCCTAAAAAATTCATGGCACCATTTTTGGGTTCATTATTATGATTGTGGTAAAATATACCCCAAGGTGGCAAAGCCCTGGTCCAGTTATTGAGGCCCTCATAGTACGTTTCTTGCGAGAGCTGTGGGACCCCACTGCTGGGTTCTGGCAGCAAAGACATTTAAGCGCAATATGGTATCGACTACCTTTTTCGCATGACAAACCTTCAGGTTTCACTGAAACAGGAGGTGTAGCCGAAATATCGGGGAAGCTATGGAGCCTGGCTTAGGGTACTGTTGGCCCGGGGGAGCTCCTGGGGTCCTGGCAAGAGCTCCCCCTGCGCTTTTGGGCTTCTTATAATAAGGATCCTACTTCTTAGGGGTCCTATAATTAGGGTCCCCTGCTTGTTGCTGACGAAGATGTGCTCATCACCGATACTCATTGCCATGGTTTGCTCATTGCCCGGGGAGTGTACCGGTAACCCTCAGCCTTCGCGACGTGCAAAAGTTCGTGACAATGAACAAAGCTTCGTGGACAATGAGCAACAATTCGTGGATAAGCGGCAAACTCTGTTGAGCACTCAGAGTGCGAGCATTTTGGGAATTCTGGTGGGACAGTCGTCTTGGGACGACCCCAAATGTTCTCGGAATGGGCCCTGGAACAGTACACCGAAAAGGGTACGTTACTTGTGTAACGAGAACGCATGAGGGTGTTTTTTCTGCATCTTGTGACAAAGCTGCTTAGCTTGTGAAGCCTTCGCCGAATCGTGAGCTTGAAGGCTGAACCCTGAATTCCCATACCCCAAATCCCAAGAATCTCATATCCCAAGTTCTGAAGCTGAAGACCCTTTATAAACCCCGACTCGCAAAGGAAGCTCAGCTCCTTGGCGTTGGATCTCGGCATGCTCCTATCGCAGGTCCGGGTGCAGCAGGGCAAGGGTGCGTTGGCTTTCCTGCATATCGACCCCTCTGGTTTTGAGACATCATCGGTACCCTAAAGCCTAAACCCTAAACCCTAATCCCTGAGCCCTGAGCCCTGGTGCATTCTTTGGATCGTGGAACCCTCTGCTGCAGGAGGATGCGGACGCGATCATCTCACCGGTGGCCAAGAAAGGCCGGGCTCGATTGCTATATTAAGACATGTCAAAGTAGCCTTCTTATTATTCTTGTTATTGTCTTTCTTATTCTTAGTGTGCTATAGACATATATACATAGACACAATATATATATATATGTATATGTATATATGTTTATTTATACTTATTTATTTGTTTGTTTATTGCCGGATGAAAAACCTGCTGCTAGCAATAAGCACGGCCAACTCCAAACTCCCCACTCCCTAGGATAGTTAGCCGCCTGAAGAATTACGAAGGTTATTCTTTCGGGCTCCTTCTCATGACCATACGACTGTATGATAGTATGCACCAGAACCCCTTATTCTAACTAGCGAGGCCCCTAAATCCACTCTATTTCTGCTGGGTGATCAGCGATTTCCCAACCCAACAGGGTTAGGGTTTAGGAATTGGGGTTCATGGGGTTTGGGGCTCATTGGGGATTAGGGTGATTTGGGATTTTTTGGGTAGTCCTCTAAATTAAGGTACCTTTTAGGGGCTTGTTTTTAAAAATGCATATTTCGGACCTAAAAAGGGCCCCTAAACTAAATGCACTACACACATAGTGTTTAGGGATTAGGGCGATCAGGGATCTAGGGGTTTAGGGTTGAAAGGGGCCTCGGCCTTGACAGGGCCCAAGAAGAAGAAGCCTGCGCCCAAGGCGAAGAAGGCACCGGCCAAGGCCCAAACTGGGTTTCCCGTAAGGGTTCTCGAAGGGTTCCTATAACCCTGAACCCTAAACTCGGGTTCCTATAAGGGTTCTGGGTAGCTAGCAAGGGGTCATCCCCCAGTTTGAGCCCAGACCTCTCCCCTGAAACTTTCACCCCAAGCTTATACCGTGGCCCCTGAACCAAAACCACTTGAACAATCCATAACCTGATCCTTCCGACAACCCATACCCGAAGCTGATCTGAGAAGTGCTCTCCCCCCAACTGCTTCTATTCAATTCCTGCAACCAGATGCAGCCGAAGTCATAGTCGCTGGCTGAACCCGTTGCCTTATCCAGGCTGCACTCCGGATGAGGCCTGAGCAATAACCACCACTCTTGTAGAGAATACCAGACTATCAGCCAGGAAATGTCTTACACGGGGAAACATGCTAGTGCTTTGACCTATCCGCTGGCGACGTCAACACCGATTTCCTCATCAGCCTCATCATGGCAATGGTGCGCCCTGCATGTTTAGTTGCAGTCCACAGTCAGTTCAACAGCCACTCATGCGAAGTGTGTGACAGCTTTTGAAGCATTGGAGCGCAACCAAGAACCCTACTTTAAGCACAGATTTGCTCAAGGAATTCTCAAGGAATTCTGTGTAGACGATCACGCTGATCACTGCTGCCACTACTTGCTCCCTCTCGATGGCGGCCGGATGGCAAGTCAGACAGTTGTTCGACAACCATTTGGGATCATTTGGGCATTTGGTGTGCCAGGCTGTGTTCGTGGGGTACCGGCTCGAAGCTGCCGAAGAAGCTGACTCAAGCAAAGGCGCGGCATGACTTCGACGCCAATTCATCATCGGAGCTGCAGTCCCTTAAGGAGAGGTTGGCTCAAGTGTTGGATGAATTGTCCGCCAAGGACAAAGAGTTGTCCGCCAAGGACGAAGATCTCCATGATGCCCATGCGGGCTATGCGCGCTTGACTGATCAGTTGAAGGACCACGAAGACCAGGTGGATGACTGCAACCGAACCATTGACATCCTGACCAATGAGAATGAACAATTGCGGCGAGACCTAGATGAAGCAAAGCGCCGGTTCGCAGAAGCCTTTCTGCAACATGCTCCAAAGCTGCAAGGTGTCAGTCCTGGTGGCCGAAGTTGATATGCTTGCGCTGGAACCAGTTGCAAATGCAACTGCATTAGCTAGTCACCAAGTCTCAGCTTTGCCACCATTTTCCATGTGCCATCTTATGGTATGTTTTGGTGTGAAGTGCCGGTCACCAGTCAAACGAGTGCTGTGCAGTCGCCGACTTTTCACTTACAGCCCCAAACCCTTGATTTGGAGAGACTGTGCACAAAAAGGGCCTCGCGTGACCCCAGAGGAGCTTGGCAGACACGGCGCAGGAACTTCAGTGATTTTCCTCAACCCTCATAGCATCTTGACAGGTGCTCATCGTTGCTTCCGACTACACGGCTGCGCAGGGACTTGTTCTTAGGCTTCCTTGTTATATTTGTGCTATTAAACTCCAAGACCCTATTCTAGTACTCGAGGCCGGCGCATTGCAGAGCCAGGCTTTTTGTGCTGAGACTTGGTCTCGACCTGCTGTAAGCTACCAGCCTCGGTTTCTTATGGCATGTTGTATGACCAACCCTGAACCCTAAACCCCAGGCAGGGATTCCCTGTCCGGTGCTTCCGTCAGCTTCTGAGCCCCAAGTCCACCGGCCAACAGGCTTCAATCTGTCTCTAAGGCCTGATAGAATCCTTAGAAGAAAGGGTGTGGCAAAAGAGGGTCGGCACTCCTAGGATGGGGAGATTCCGAAAGATTCATGTAGGAGCCTTAACAATTAGAGTAGGGTTTTGGGGTGTTTTATACTCTGATTGTAATAAGGAACCCCTAAACTAGTATTGGTAATTATTAAGGCCCCGATACTATGTGCATATCCACAACCCGGAGAGAGGAACCTTCTTGCCTTAACATGCCTGCCTAGTCTGAGCCTCTTCCTGTCCGGGAGGCTCCTGCGGAGAACAGACCGGGCTCCAAGGAAGACCGTCGTGTTGTGAGGTTCAGGATTTAGGATTTTGGGTTTTGAGGTTTATAGGTTTTTTAAAAAGCCTATGCTCTGGATTTAGGATTTAGGGTTTTTTGAGGTTTAGGGTGTCATGGCAGGGCTGAGGGTATCAGGAGCTGGCATGGCCCAGGCTTCAGAAACATTGAAGCCTCAAACCGTCGCGCACCTTATACAGACCCCAAGTAGGAGGGCCCTTCTTGTAACGACCCCTAGGTACGGTGGAAGCCTTGCAGGCTATACTCCACTGGATTCTAAACGCGATTTCAAACTTCGACCCACGCGGATGAGCAACGCTTCCGAGCCCTGCGATGCAGGGGTCCGAACCCGAACTTCTTCAGATCCGTTAGCTTCTACTCAGCCCTGCAATCCCACAAGCCCTGGTCGAAGCTACGGCAGCTACGCCTGGACACCAAGAAGCTGCTAGAATGCTTCGGCCCTTCAGTCCGAACCTTCAGCCAGCATCTCTAAGCACCCTATAAACCCTATAGACCGTCGAAGGCAGATCCAAAAAGAGATCGAGACCTACAAAAAAAGGAAAAAAACGTGAAGCCTCTGTCCTAGAGTCCTAAATCCTGTACACCAGAAACCCCCTCCTCCAGAGAAACCGAAGAGGAGCTCCCAATGCCCGCAGCTGAGCTGCCGGTTGAGCCGAAGAAGGCCGGGTTAGGGTTGCAGTTTTATGGTTTAGGGTACCTAAAGCCCGTTTCGCATGCCTCCCGCAAAGTGGTTTAGGGTTCAGGGTTTAGGGTTTGGGGTTTAAGGGTTCCAGATGTTAGAAGGACGGAAAAAGGTGTAAAAGAAAAGGTCCTTTTCTGCTCGCGAGCCCGCTTGAAAGGCCTCGAAGGAGCAACCCGCTTCGGAAGAGCCGGCGACTGTGGCAGAGGTCAGGACGTGAGTTCAGGGCCTAAATTGATTTCCTTGTACAAGTTCTTCGAAAAGGTAGGTTACTCAGGGTCCACGTAGACTTTCCGGGCTTACAGAGGAGTATTCCGCTCCCTTGCCAAGATGCCAGCAAAATCCTATGTATTCAGGCCCCTACTGTAGGGGCTGTTGGCGTTTGCAGGCTCTTCTCAGGTTTCCGGGATTGAGGAATTTTGTTAGGGTGAGGGTTTTTGGGTTTCGGGTTCAGGATGTTTTCTGCAAGGTTTACGGGCTTTGGAAATTTGGAGTTCAGAGGCCTTTTCGGGCTTGAGGATTTCGGGGTTCCTAGTGTCCAGGAATTCGGACTTTCCTTCTTTCAGAGGCAGAGGGTAGTTTGTCTTGTTGCGTATTGAATTTCCGGGGTGGCTTCGGAGTTGTTGAGAAAAGTTTGCGCCAGGAATGAGTATACGAAGACCTAAACCCCCATACCCCTAAACCCCTGAAGCCCAAACCCCTAAACACTGGACCCCTAAAGACGGTGCTCCTGTGAGTGTCATAAGACGAAGAGCAAAGGCGGCTGCTGCACCCACGGCGACGGCTCCTGCAGCCGCCGAGCAACCTTGCAGCAGCCTGGGTGGGGTTTGGGCCAGGGTTTAGGGTTTTGGGTTTGGGGCTTAAGGTTTAGGGTTCAGGGCTTAGGGCTTAGGGTTGTGGGCTTAGAGCTTAGAGATGCATGGCTTACAGTTTTAGACATGTGCCCAGTCTTGGTATCTAGGGCAGTTGTTCCTTTTGACACCTTGCGAGGTATTTTCGGCTGTCAAGTCTAAAGGCTTCTCAGATCTCCGTATGAACAATCGAACCCTAAAGGCTCTACATCAAGCTCTCCCTAACACCTGCTCGCTCGGTTTGGGCTGCAATCCCACACACCCTGAAACCTCAAGTCCTCAACATCAGATCGCTGAAATGCTGGAAGCCCAAACCCCAAAGCCTCGAAACCCAGCAAAAATCCGTAACATCGGACCCGAACATCGAAAGGCCCACGTCGCCGACCCCGGCGGCGGAGACCACTAAGCGGCCCAGCGGCGAGAGGTGCCTGGCGGGGGGTTTAGGGTCTAGGGTTTAGGGTCTGACATTCCGGACCTTGTCAAGTTTAAGAAGCATTTGGTGCAGGCTCGATGGGCACACACACACACACACCTATCGTACAGTATATTTGCGCCGTACTAGGTGACTTTGAGGAAATTTCGCTTGAACTGCTTCCTGGCTGTCCGTCCGCTCCATGTGTCTCAGGTCGGGAGACCCCGCACCGGCTGCGGCGGAGGTTGCAAAGCGGCCAAGCGGCAAAAAGTGCGGTGCAGTGACTGCTTAAGCCCCAGCAAACTCTAAGGCTTGAGAAAGCTGCAGACGAATTTGCTTTGGCTTGAGGATCCGTTTCGCTTCCCTCTAATGGGCCTGACGTTCGTGCACATTTGCTCCTCTACCTTAAACCCTAAACTCCAAGCCCTAAGCCTTAATCCCAAAACCCCCTAGAAACCCTAAACCCCGAACCCACCTGAAACCTGAAACCCCTAGGCCCCAAACCCTTAACCCTAAACCTTAACACCCTAGACCCCAAACCTTAAACCCTAAACCCCGAAAAAGTCCAAAACTTCAAACCTTAAACCTAAAAATATCCCAAACTTCTCCCACCTACGCTTGATTCCTCCCAGACCGGCCGGGCCAGAAGCGAAGCGACCCAGCACCGAGAGGTGGGGCTGGGCAGAGTATAATAGGATTTAGGGCTAGGTTAGGGTTCAGGGTTTCGGGTTTAGGGTTTCTGGTTTAGGGTTGGGTTTAGGGGCGGGTTTAGGGCCTGGGTAGACTGGTATAGAAGCCTAGGGCCTACATCATAGGTGCTATTGTATGTGGTTCGGATCGGGTTTAGGTGTGCATGTGGGACTTTGGGGGTGTCTGCGTGGAAAGTAGCTTTCAGAAGTGCAGTATTGATGAAGCTTTCTGTTGTGGCTTCTATTCTGGAATTCAGGAGGCTTCAGGACTCTTGTGGGTTGCAAACTCACAGGGATCAGCGTTGCTGCTGTTCCCTCTCAGTCTGCGCTG